TAGATTTTCATATTAATTTCCTGAAGAGAAAAATTCATTTTGTAAAATACTTATCAATCTTGCAGTCTCTGGCTATAGCTTGGGCTGCTTTTTGCTTGGGCTGCTTTTGTGGGTTTTTTTTTCTTTTATTTTTTTTCCCTCTTCTCCTTTTCACACATCAGTATTGTTTATAAAAATCCTGTCTGTATCCACAGTTACATGTGGACAAACTTACTAGCTAGAAATCAAGTCCTAGGCTGTTACTATTTTTGTTCTATGGCCTGTTTGTTAGTGGGCATCTGGATTTGAATCTTAATATGATTTAGGGTAGATAGCAAACCTGAAAGTAATTTTTCAGTTTTGTGGTACATTGAGGAACTCCCAGTGCACATTTCACAAGCTCCTTTAGCTGTTAGTTGTGATACCTGAAATTCGAGGGAGCTATCATTTTGATGCATAAATAAATGCGTATTGCACTAGTAGCAATGGAACCTGAAATAAAAGCTATTATTTTTAAATAAATACTCAACCATAGTTAACTAGTCAATTCATACTAACTACTTGTTTACTTCCATGGCATAATGTAATTCTGGACTAGCTCTTTGGTGAATGAGAATAAAATGTAAAACAATAAAACCCTCAAAACCAAGCAAACCAATTCCCCCATCCTTTTAGAAATGAAAAGAAAGAAAATGTAGGCGTATGACTTGAGATACACATGAGAACCAGATGTGGCAAGTAAAAAGATACTCACTTTTTCCCTTTTGCACATGCCAAGTTAAAGCAGAGCCTAAGCCCGTGGGTGAGAAAATTGCAGCGAATTGCCCAGCTTATTTTATTTCTATTTTTGAAACTTAGATCTCCATACAACGCCCAGAACCTCGGGAATCAGAATCTAATTTTTGAGCCCCCAGGCTATTATCTGCAGCTGTGCAATGTTAGAGCATACTTTGGATACGTCAATATTTGAAGGCACAGGCTAATTTTTGTCTTGTAATACAATTGTATGTCTGTTTGCTGATGTAACCCTGTTATCTCTTACGTGACTTGTACAAGGTAGGTACAAGCTGCAAGGTAGTCAACCACTCAAACCTGATGGTGGTCGTCTGGTTACACAGATTAAAATCAGTAAATCTCAATTTAGTAAGAATACTTATGCAGTTTTGATGAGCTAATGGTACTCAGGTAGTTTGGATTCAGAGGTTAGGAATTCTTATTTTATTTGAGAGTAGGTGATTCTTATTTTGAGAGTAGGAATTCTTATTTTATTTGAGAGGGTAAATATGCTATGCACAAGGCAGACACTCATCTGCTAGACATGTATGTAGGTTGGACTGCTTCAGTGCTGTATGGAGCTACTTCCTGATGGAATGATAAAATAAGTCTTGCTACATTTTTATAAAAGTATTTCTTGCTGTTGTTACTGCCAGCTTCTCAGTCCAACAATGGAGAATTTCTTGTATTTTGAAGAGCTTGTTAGGAAGCACCAAACAAGGTTGTTCATATTTCTGGAGCAAGGGGTTTCTCTGACAGTGACTACTCTCTTTTCTTTCTTTTTTTTCTCTTATTTTCTTTTTTTTTTTTTTTCTCTTGGCTCCAAGTACACAGATGCACTCAGCCAGCATTCGTGTCTGTTTCTGAGAAGTGTTGAGAGATCTCAATATCTTCTTTTACACAGGCTTCAGTTAAAAATTTTAGTTGCCATACAGGAATTTTCTGAAGAAGACAGGTACTTCAGGGAGTACAGAACAAGTCTTTGCACATGGGACAAAGCAGAAATCTGAGACATATAGCCTTCTCTTACACTAACCTGCCAAAATTGTAACAAATAAGGATATTGGAACCACATGCAATGAGAGCTACATGGTACCACCGGTATGTGGCACTCTGCTTCCTGCAAGGTACTGTTTAGCATGCAAAGTGCAAGTTATGAATCTAAAACTTCTGAATGGGAAGGTATTCATTCATATGAAATATTTTTTTCCTTGGGACATAGTACCTTTCAGTGTACACAAGCTGGAAACTCATTCAAATATTAGAAAGCCAACAGAAAGCAGAATGTTTTCTGAGAAAGCTTGGAACTGGTAGTCCCAAATCCTCCTACTTCAAGGTGGGCTACTTCTCGATATATTTGGTTCCTGAGCAATGAGAAGGAGGATGATAGCAGGAGATCATAAATTTCACAGTGCACAGTAGCTGATTGGTTAGAATATACATTAAGTGCTGGGTGAAGAGGAGCTTTTTTTAGAAGTAGACTGTTTTATAACTATATTTTAAATGTTTCATGGAATGCCTAAAGCAAAAGATAGTGTTTCTTTTTAATCAGGGTATTTATTTGTTGAAATAAATGAATAATTTATTTCCTTGCTATCTTGGTTGTATGTCTTCTTTCTGTGGATCCTTGTCAGGTTGTACTTCAAATGGATATTTTTAGACAGCAGTGTTGGTCTTGGGGAATAATTGAAGCATAGCAGTAGGTGAGTTATATGTCCCTGTAGTTGGCCTTTGGACCTTTTGAATGTCAGTTTTTATAGTAATTTCGTTACTTGAAAACATGCCATGGTGATTAAGTGTTCGCATCTTTTATCCCAGCAAATCAGTTGCCATCTTTGCATTGATCAGTCAGGAATACTGCAAGCCTTACTATGTTGTGTTCAGCTGTCTTTGTGATATACATAAAACAAGTACAGGGTAATTTTTCCATCTGACCTTCCTTCAGTCTGATCTTGTCTCTATTTTTGTTAATGCAGATCAGGTAGTGTGAATCAAAGGGGTCTGAATGCACGTCTTCTAAGTATGTTTATGGGTTTTTGTCTACTTATTCGTCTGTTTATTTTGACAGTGGCTTGTGTGCACATGTTTTTGTGTATTTATTTGCACGCCTGCATGTACTTGTCAAAATACCTTCCAGAGTTTGCTTCCAAAATGCTGGACCTGGTTCTCAAACTCGTGCAATTACTTTGTTTTAAAAGACTTGAGGCAAATATAGGTAAGTGAAGGAACAAGCGCAATCCAAGAGTGTTTTATTATTGAGGGGTCTAAACTACCAGGTTGATGAAATAATGAACTTTCTTTAACAAAACATCGCAGTGATACCTTTGAATAGTCATACCATTTATAGCATATTTAACTACAAAAGCATCTCATATGAAATAAATAATGGGGCAAAATTAATCTATTAAAGCATCCTGGACTGAAACAAAATGTCACAGAAAGAAAACAGGAAAATATTGATCATTGCTGTTTATTGGCATAAGTTAAATTATTCCAGCTGATTATCTCAAGTACTGCTAAAGAATTTAATTTCCAAGAAAATGAAATCACCCTCTGAGATAATTAAAAATAGACTTAATGGCTTAACTTCCTTCATCAGAGCATGAAAATGTAGTTGTATATATTTTAAGTACTCAGGCAGAAGTATATGTTAAAAAAGTCATTTATTTGTAGTAAGATACAAGGATTGTCTAATTTTTCACTGATGGATGACCATTTGAGAGTATGATCTTAAGCTTGAAAGCTCCATGTTCCAGGATCTCTTTAGATGAAACAATTTTTCAAAAAACATAGATTTGCAGATTTCTAAAATATTCTAGGAAATGGATCTTGAGATAACCCTTCTCAGAAACTGTGTGCTATAATAATGCAAGTTGAAGCAGTTTAATGTATAAGAGCCAGTTGATGTTCTAGCTAATTTTATTCAATGTTGTGATGATTTCATAGGATTTGATAGAAGTAAATTAAGTAATAGTGGATATGTGAAAACAAACTAGGTATTCCTTCAGCCTGTAAACATTTTATGACATACATGTTTGTATGGAAAATCTTAACTGAAATTCTACATATTACAGTTACTGATCCTGTCATTCTCTATTTAAAAGATTATCTATTCTGAAAAAATAAAATTCCCAAACAGGAAAAATTGTGGCCTCACTTGATTTTTGCACCAGTTTCATCCCAAATAGATTGTATTATGCTGTGAAGATAGAAAAACTGATATAAGAGCTGATATAAAAACACAATGCTACAATAGCATCATGATCATCCTTATCAGGCTCATGATGTAAAGACTCCTCCACAATTCCCCAGACTTTCAAAAGTCCAGTGTATGGCTAAGTACTTAACCTACATGCAAAGATAGATGGGTTATGCCAGTCATGAGGCAGTTTCTGCAAAGGCACCATCCAAGTATCTGGCAAGAGCTTTAGCATATGCAAGTTATGCCCACTTTTGGAAGCAAATCTAGAAGATTCACCCAAGTTTTTTCTCACTCCTAGTGATAGATGCTGTTGAATTTTTACATCTTTCATAACGGTACTCCCTTTTTTCCACAGAGATGCAGGGCAGAAATCTTGGTCAAAAGTCTGATGTTGTCTTAATATTAGCTGACCTTCATGTCATTCCTTTCTTGAATGACCCTGTTAAAGCCATTTCCCAGCATGGGTTATTAGTATATTGTATTAGCATTTTCCACCTTTTTACTACTATAATAAATGAAAATACTAAATCACATCTATCCCTGAAGTGTTTATTAAGAAATTTGGTTGCTGGTGTTCTTTTCAGCTTTCCCTGTTATAAGTTGCCTTTTTTGTTCTAATGAGACTTAGTTCTCTCCCTTTTAAATAACTTTGTCCTATTAACCAATACCAGATAAAGGTCCTTTACCACACTTCCTTTCTCAATAACATTATTTTTTACTTTGATTGTACCTAAAGCGGACCGATTAAGATAGAAGAAGACAAAAAAAAAAGCACAACAACACATAATAAATTGAGTGTATTACAGTTACCATGTTAAACACAAAACTACATGTTGAATGAAATGTGACACTTAAATAAAACAAAATGTTTATGGAACAAATCTGTGACATAGAACAGCATAATCACAACAACCTACTTTAGGCATAGGATAAATCAAATGGAAAAATAAAAATTGCACATTGCCTTTTAATGGTGAGTTGCACTTTTTCCCAGAACTCAAGCCTAATTATAATACATTTTCCAACTGTTTCTTTTTCCTTACAGTACTTGGGCTGTATAGAAGTCTTACGGTCAATGAGATCCCTTGACTTCAATACTAGAATGCAGGTTGCAAGGTAAGATTTCGTACAACTATGTTTTTTAAAGTAACTTCTGAATTGTGTCCCCAGAGTGAAAAGGTCAGAAAGATGGCAAAACACATGGTAAAGGATTTTTGGATACCATAAGTCCACTTTTAAATTTTGCTTTTACATGTAAATCCCTTATAAGGTATTAATACAGTTTCAGCAGGACTTAAAAGCTATTTTCTCTATGGATTTTTGATATGCCAGGAGGTACTTTAGAAAATTTTTGCCTGTTCATTATTCCAAGTAAGGCACTTATCTGGGTACCAATTTAATGGCATTTACGCCAGTGAGAATTAGAATATGCTTAAAATCTATGATCTCAAGATTAATCTAGGGAGCTGCTTTGGAGCCCATGTTTATGGGTTTTATAGTAATTTGTTATGAAAAGTTTTCAGATTATAAACTATCTGCACACAGAATATAAAGGAAAATATATCACCACAATAATACCGGAGACAAAAATAAAAAGAATTATTTCTTTTTCAGACTGCATGTAAGAAACAATAAGCTTGTATTAGGTTCTTATGACAGTTTCTCTAAATGTGTCATGGTATTTTTGTAAGAGCAGTATATAAGGACAAGATTATAGAAGTAAAAATGCCCATGATTTTTTTTTTTTCCTATGAAGAATATTTTGTGAGAACTACAGGAATGGTGTTTTGCAGGCATTTTCACTTGAAAAGCTGAGTCATTGCTTTCAGAGGAATGTAGCATTGATGACTTCTAGTAACTGGAGACCACTTTTTCAAGTTCTGGAATTGAAATTATAAAATAAATCCTTTTCAAAGAAACACATATAAAGTGATATGGCTGGATACAGTGCTTGTATTTCCACCCTTTGAGGCATCTTACAGTTGACAATAAATAAATCTGTTATATATCATACCATAAACAGCTAAATATTTCTTTTATTAAATGAGAAAAATAACTTGTTTTTAGGCTTGGATGCTAATCATATGGTCTATATGCATTGACTTTGAGTTACACCTGCATACAGCAGCTTTGAATTGGGTCATGTAAGTCCTCACAAAAAGTTAACCATTAATTTGTCAAGATACTGCACTGATGAGAGGCATAGAAGCCAAAGGACAGGTAAATGACAGAATCCTGTTTTTCAAACAATGAAATTTTACTACTGTACTTTTAAAAATGTATCATGTATGTTTCTGATGTATTTCAGCAGTGACCTTTGAAAATTATTTCATATCTAAGCAGACTTGTAGTTCTAATGCAGGTGGTACATTTGTGTTTACCACTTGGAAATTCAGTGATACTGGCTTGTGAAACAGTTGTGATAATTATTTGGCTTGTTTTCTATGTCTGGAAGTGAATTCATCTTAATTTTTCTGTAGTTTCCTTCACTGTATGCCTTCATTGTAATAGTGTTGTACTTTTCTTACTTTCTAGCTTAAAGGCACTACTCTGACATGAATACATAAGCATATTTGGTGATCTGAAGCAATATGGTCTATGTAAACAAAATATCTTTGCCTTGTAGTTCCTCCAATAAAAAAGTTTATTGGCTTCTACTGTGAAACAAACTTGGAATTTTTTTTTTTCTGTTGAAGTTATAGCATATACCACTACATTAAATCATTTTGTTATTTCACCTTCCTCTAATTATATCTAGAATATTTTTTTTTCAAGCAGGAAGCCATATCTTTCTGGCTCACTTTTTATTTTGCATTTATGGTTTTCTATTTATCATTAAACAATGAAATCCCATCATTTTTGTAATGTAGTTCCTGATCTAAAATTTTTAGGCTTTCGAGTGGGGACCTAGGATTTTAATCTGCATTTCTTTAATTCATCTGGCTCTAGAAATCCCCTCGTCATGTCCTGTGTTTTCAGTGCTCACATGCTTTGCTATGTAGCATTTCACATAAAAGCCTCTTTTTTATTAAAAAAAATATTAAGGAATTGCCAGAATTCACACATGCTAGTTAATTTTCTGGTGTGTTTTAAGAAACATAACATAGGCTTCAAGGTATGTACTGAATTAATAAGACTGATGTTCTGATATTACAGGCACCAATTCCCTCTTAAGAAGGCACCTGGTACCAAATCGTCTGTGCAGCCCTTTGATTGCAAATAAAATAAAAGCACCTGAAAGTTACATTTATGTCTACTACATCATACATATATTTTTAGGTATGTCCATTGCTGATTTCTCTGCAGCTTGCCGTCAGTGAAAAAAGCCTGTCCTGGTAGCCTGAGGGCTCCTGATGTGGTGTGGCCAAAGCTTAGGTCTGTAGTGTTAGCTGTGACTGCATCAGCCAAGGAGCCAGGGTCCACAGCTGAAGTAAAAGCTTCTCTGTGTAAACCCCTCTGTGCTATTTCCTCTCTCCAGAGAAACAGATGTCACAGCAGCTGCGGTCCCTTTCTGACCCACAACTTTATAAATTGATCCTACTGCATGTATCACACCTGTTGGATCTGTTATTTTTTCGAGACCTTTCAAAACCAGTTATAGAAGAAAGTGATGTGTCTTGGACTGATATGACTTCTGGCATTATGCAGTATTAAAAAAACTAGAAAAAATTAATCAAGTTACTTGATTCATTGTGAAAGCCTGGATGCATTTCTTCCTAATAAGTAGGCATCACGTTTGACACATAGAAAGCACTTACTCCCTTTCTAGCACTGCATCACATGCCTGTCCCTGCCTCCTTTGTTAACCTTAGTTTTTCTCCATGTTGCAGAGCTTAAACACAGGAAGTCAGTTATTAGGAATCCTAAATTTGCCTGTTTTCTGCCTTCAAGTTATTGCATTTGTCACTTTATGTCTCTGTCAGCTTTGAGGATGAGTAAAACCCCAAAAGTTAAATAAGCAGCATCAGTTCCTAGAAGAAAAAAATTGTGGGGCCCAGTAATGGAAGGGTAAGACATGTAGTCTCCTGCTCTCCTTGAAAACTCCTGGTGTTATTTGAGACAAACTGTTAGTCCCAGTCACAGACAACTCTGTGATTAAATGAATTAGTGCTTGTAAATGGCACTTAAATTGTTGAGTGAGCACTTAGAAATTACTTAAAAATTGGACTGAGATTTCCACTTATCTGGTGAATTAGAGGTAAGAAATTCATGTGAAAAGGTTGTGTAGATAATTGGAATGGCTTTGAAATCACAGCTGTTATAATGCATTAGGAAAGTATATACATCAGTGTGCATGCATGGACGTATCTCACAAATGAAGAACTTTGGCTTCAATTTCACGAACTGCATCAAAGCCCCAGAGTAAATACTTTGGTCAGCAGCCTTTCCTTCCTTATTACAGTCCTATAAAATATTGACTTGTGCCATCTAATGCTGTCTTACCTATCCTATCCTGTAACTAGTATTAGTTTTGCCTTTTCATTGTACAATATAATGTTAAAACTTGCAGCAATACATTTATCTTTGTGTGAGAGCAGTGAGCAAACTCTTCACTTGGCATACTATTCATCAGATCTTAATAACTTTGGTGGCACCTTACTGCCCTAATTTTGAGTTGAAGGAAAAATGAGCAGTTATGTAAAATTTCTAACAACTTTTTGCCTTTGTCATTACATATATTCTCAAGTCTCAAGATTCATTCTTTACAGGAGAAATAGAAGAACTAGAGTAGTATTAATCAGTTGTATTGTATTTATTATTTCCTTTAATGAATGTAATGTCATGTGAATCTTTGAGCAAATAAGAGGATGCACCAGACAACGGTCAGTCATTACACATAATGATAAATGAAAGCCAGCTGAATTCACGTGTTGCATCTTTGATTACCCAGTGATAATTCTTGTAACACATGTGAAGTCAAGATGACTTTCTTGGGCAGCAAGACAAAAGCATTTAATTTTCAACGTAGTGGAGGAGCAGCAGACAAGACTACTTGAGCTAACCACGGGTGGCAAGTGGTTAAAGTTCATCTGAAACCTACCATCATCGTCATAGAAAGGGGCCACTCTTAAGCTTCTATGGCCAGGCTCTTTATGCCTTCAGGCTTTTTGTAAAAAAAAAATCTTAACAATCAGGTAAAATTCTTTTGCAATATGTGCAGTGTTTGCAGTTCATGTAATATGTTTGTTTGCTTATTGTTAAAGCTATAGTAGAAATAATGTGTCCTCACTTTTGTGTTGTGTGCATGAGTGACTTACGCACTGATTTGAATTAGATGTTGCATGCACTGTTTGTTGTACATCTAAGTCTGAACTACAAGGATGCATGTTCACTGGCATTTAATTAAACAAAATCCATTTATGGCATGCAGCATCATGAAGTCACACCTCCCCATGCTGAGTAAAATGTTACGTTGCATGTTGCTCTAATATCAGTAGGCCAGAGGATGGAAATACCTCACATCAGCAGTGGACCCAAATCAAACTCTGATCTCAGTAACTACATTAACTCTGTTGGGATGAACAGCTTGAAAAATATTCCTCTCCAAATTTGAGGCTTGAACTTTATTAATAAAATTATTAAACCAAATCCATTTATGCCAATATCCCTGGAGAAGAGATGGTAGAAATCCAAATGTTAGAGTTGTATTTGAGTCCAATGCTAAACAATATGAAACAGTTTAGTTGATGTAGTGTTTCACCTGTATCTGTGTTGTTTGCAGAAATTGCCAGCAAGCATCACTGAAAGAAAGGGTGGAAGACATTGAAAAGCAAGAATGTGTCTCCTGTGATTCTTGAAGGCTGATAGGTAATCTGTTATCTGCAGTGAATTCTGCATTCAGTGTCCTCCTTAACATGCTGTCATGCTTAAAGGTGAGTGTGTTTTATCTCTGCCTTCTTCCACGAGAGCTCTGTCTGTGGGGTGGTGTTAGGAGATGGCAGAACACACAGACCGTTTGCAGTTACAGAAAGAGGTGGGCAGAGCTACTTGGGAGTCAAAGCTGTGGGAAGCATGAGGTGCTGGCTGCTGCTTGGTTCACCAGGAAGCAGGAGTCTCAAAAGTGGATGGAGACATCCTTATAATTCATACAGCATACCTCTGAGTGGGACAATGAC